GACTTCCTTAAAGTAAAGTGACATATGCAAAGCACCTGCCTTACACCTGCACACAGTAGGCGGACAGGCTCTGGGAACTGTCCCAGGCTTATGCCTTTAATCTTTCCTTTCCTGTCATCTGGAATGTCCAAGGTCCTCCCTGCCCACCTCAATTTTCCCTCTTCCCTTCCACTCTTCTTCTCAACCAACATCCACTACTCTCCTGGGTCAGGCAGGTAAGAAGTCCTGCTTCAGGCTGGCCTGTTAGCTCAGTGTTAGAACACCAAGGTCAAGTGTTCAAATCCCTGTACTGGCCAGCTGCCAAAGGGGGGAAAAAAAGTTCTGCTTCTCTTCCTCACAGTTGTCTGCACCTATCTGATATTAGCTGTTTGTTTATGTGGTGATGTCTGTATTGCTGCTACTAAAATGCAACCTCCATGTCAGCAGAGATGACCGTGTTGTCTTATTCTCCTAGGATGGTCTGGCATGTAGTAGTTACTTGATAAATATTTGTTAAAATGGGGGATGGATGGTTAGATAGATGGATGCCACCCAGGTTTATTGCTTTTTTCCCCTCTCTCCTACATCCCTTCCTAACTAGTGGTTTGTTGGAAAAATGACTAGTCAAGGAGTTCCCAGGCCAGATACTGGGAGGCCTGGCTTTGTAACTTACTTGGCCAATACCTCGGAACAGGTCACCTAACGTCTCTGTTGTCTATTTCTTGTCTGTAAAGTAGGGATAATAACATATCATGTATGTTGGGAGGCTCCACGAGATAGTGAGTGAAGTCAAGGCAAGGTGTTATTACATTGTCTTTTGTTTTTGACACAGAACCTGGTTCACAGGAGGCTTGTGGGGGATGATAATTTAAGAACCTCAGGCAGAGTCTCCTCTTTACATTCATTTGGGGGTTCTGCTATGATGATGGTGATGACAGCTATTATTTACTGAGCGATTATTCTCTGGCAGGCTCTAGGCTAAGCACATTTCTTACTTTAATGCACGTAATTCTTCTAATAACCAATGAGATTAACCCTACACTAAAGTATCCACCCCTGGTGATTCTTCATTACATTACTATGTTCTAATTTTCTTCACTGCATTTATCACTAACTAAAATTAACTCATCTACCTACTTGTTTATGGTTTGTCTTCCCCAATTAGACTCTAAGTTCCATGGGAGCAGAGCCTTATCTGTTTTGTTCTTGGCTTATTCCCCAGTGCCTAGAAGAGTCCCAACTGGCACACAGAAGACCCATTTAACAGATGAGGAAGTAGGCTCAAAAGGGCTAAGTGCCTTACCCAAGGACACAGAGTTACCGAACCCATGGGTTGTGACCCTGGTGCTACTTCCTTCCGTGGTGCTATTGTTTCTGATACGCTGTGCCTTGGTAGAGATCTGATGTAGGAAATGTTGCCCAGGGCCAAGTCCTCTCCCCAGCCCCTCCTCCCCCATTCCTCTTTCACCTTCTGATAGCTCAGGAGTTTAGTCTTGGACAGGCACACCAATAGTGGGTTTGTGGAGGCCCTAGGGAAGGTGACTTCATAGGATGGGAGTTGCCTAGTTTCCCCTGTTTGTTCTGGCCCTATCACCTGTGGGTAGGTCTCACTCCTTCCTGGGACACTTCACGTTCGTCCTGTATCAGCTCCTGGGACTTCTTCCTCTTTCTCACCCACTGGGTCCTCAATCCTCATTTCCAATCTTTAAGAGAACAGAGAGCCAAAAGTTCTTGGATTTTAGAATTTAATGCAAGTCAATGCTAACCTTATCCATAGGGAAGACTTTCTAGAAGCCAAATGGCTCAATCTTAGAACATGAGGTTGATTCATGGCATGAGCAGACGTGGGGACCAGGACATTAGGACTCCTAGCTCCTGGCCAGAAACTTTTCCAGTTGTCTTGCCTTCTTAGTCCCTCCTGCCTTCTGTGGGTGGGAAATTTCTTTCTGCTTTGCAGCAGAGAATTGGTTCAGTGTATTCCAGAGAAGGGAAATTTCCAGAATAGGAAAGGTATCTAGAGACTAGCACAGAGTTTAAGAGCTGCGTTGTGGAGTACAAGCTGAGCCTCCATCACTTATTGGCTGAGTGACCTTGAGCAGTTGATATTATCTTTTTGAGTCTCAATTTCCCCTTCTGTAAAAGGGGATGGTACTTCCTATCTTTCAAGCCTATTGTGTGGAGTAGATGAGATGACACACACAGACAGTGGCATTGTGTCTGCCTACGGTAAACACTTAAGGTACAGTAGCTGCTATTTATCAAGGAATCAGACTTTGGGATCCTAACAGGATAGACTGGAAAACACTCGTAGGCCAGGAAAGCCTCCCAGGTGAACAGTAAACATTATCTGTTCTTTTATTTCTGGTGTGACTTTATTTTTATCTTCTAAAATTTATTTCTGACAGGTCAGCCATCAAAAAAATTTTTTTAAAAACCTTTAAAAAAAATGTATTTTTAAAAGGGTGAGATAACTTATAGCTCATCTGATAATGGATAAAGCTGATAATGATCATTCCACTGGAGTTGGCATATTGGAGCTCCAAACCCAGATCTACCACTGACTTGCAGTGTGACCACGTCTTATAACACTTTGCAGCCCCTCAATGTCTAGCTCCAAGCTGGTCGGGAGCACAGTAATGGCTTGCATGTGTTAAGCACTTGTTATGTGTCAGGCACAGTTCTAAGGATTTTTCATCTGCTGAAGCATTTGATCTTCATAATCCTACATGGTGGGTGCTTTTACTAGAGTTAGTTACAAATGAGGAGCAATGCTAAGCTCTGGTGGTCCCAGTTGACCCAGATGGTAAGGGTCCATCAGGCATATCCTTGCATCTCCCATGCCTCATTGGTTTAAAGGTTCCCTTTAGCCTGGGGCTGGGCAGAGGGTGTGGATGGCCACCCTGGGCTTGCTCAGTAAGTTCCTCTAACCCCAGGCCCAGGAGGCAGCTAGGAAGGGCTTCTTCTCACATCTCCGTCTTGAGGCCCCTTGATTTATGGCAGCAGAAACTTGGGGAGTGCCTCCCTCTCCTCGCCCCTAGAGCAGGAAAGTTTCTGTCATTTCTTTTTCCTGTGTGACAGCTCCATCTCCCTCCCTCTCAGAGCTCAACTCTGCACACCCTGGGGCCCAGTGGGATGGGAGACACTGCCCTGGATGAGGCCCCTGGGGGAGCTGCCACCTGATGTCTACCTAGGTATGGCCTGGGCTGCTGCTGTGCCCACTCTTGGTCTGAGAATGTGGGCCTGAGCAGCTGGGTGGCAGGAGGGCATTTCCTGCAGTGTGATTTACGAAGGTCCTTGCCCACCCCCTAATCTGCCACATTGCTGAAATTCCACCACTAAAAGCATTTTTCTGCTGTGGTAAAGATTTTCCTCCTGCACTGTGGCAAAGCAGTGTGGCTGAGTGAAGAGTATGTGGCTTTGGTGATAGATAAGCCTGAGTTTAAATCCTGGTTGTGTCATGGACTAGCTGGGTGATCTTGGGCATTTTATTATTCTCTCCAAATCTCACATTTCTTCATCTGTAAAAGGAAGCAAATGACCTTTACCTTGCAGGGTCCTTGCAAGAATCAGAGTTAATGAATGGAGAGTGTTTGTATACATCATAGTAAATGGCAGCTGACATTGTTCCTATGTCCCTAATATGGGTGAGTCTATCATGCCCACATAGAAAGAGGCACTGGGGCACCAGGACACCAGTCAGTGCCCTCTTCATCTCTGTGGCTCTCTCTTCCCAGCTTGGACAACTTCTTTCCTACCAATGTCCTTCACATACTCTGCTCTAAAATGAGCACAGAATTTCCAACTTCTATGCCTTTGCTCATGACTAAGAGCATTTACTATACCAGTGATGCTCAAAGTGTGGCCCCCAGAATACTGGCACCAGCATCACCAGGAAGGTTGTTAGAAATTAAAATTCTCGGCCACCCCAGACCTAGTGAATCAGGAACTCTAGGAGTGGGGCCCCGCAGTCTACTTTAACAAACTTTCCAAGTCATTCTCAGGCAGCTACAGTTTGAGAACACTATTCTGTACTATAGCATCATCCTGTCGGAGCTTGAATCCCCTTTGGGCCACTCACTGGGACCTTGGGCAATTCCCTTAACTTTTCTGAGCTTCAGTTTCCTCCACTGTAAAATAAGAATAATAGTATTTGCTTTAAAGGGTGGTTGTGAGAATTAAGTGAGATGATAATTCACGAAAGGTGCTTAGCTCAGTTCCTAAAGCGTGGTCAATGCTCAATAAAGATAAGAAATTTTTATCATCATCATCATTATTCCGTATTATGTCCCCATCCCTGTTCCTCCAGAGATGTCTTCTTCCTCCAAAAAACCTTTTCTGATCTCTTTCCCTTGAGTGCATGTGGCTTGTCTGTTGGGCTCCAGTGCTTTGTATTTCTCCAAGCTTCTCAGGGCAGTGCTCAGTAACTGCAGTTCCTGGCATCTGAGCAGCTGCTCGGGCACTCTACAATAAACGTTGGTCTGAAATGCCATTTTGCAGGACCAGGTTCTGCCTAAGGGCTTCCTTGTGCTGGTGATCTCTGTCATTTGCCATGCTTTCTCACTGACTCAGAATGATCTGTAACCTTCTGTGTTTTTCACAGTCTTGAGGTCAGCTTCTTCAGAAGAATTCCTGCTGGGTTGTCTGGAAATTTTATTTTTTGCTGCTTGTCATTGTCGTTTCCCATCCTGTTACACTAATTTCCCTTGAATAAATGTCTGCCAGTGAAGCATTTTATTGAGTACTCTCTGTAGCCTTGCAAGATCAGGATTATGGTCCTCATACTGTAGATGAGGGAACTGAGTCCCAGGTCTACAGCTTCTACATGGCAACATTTGGTATTGATCTAGCTCCTGAGTTCAGGTCCATTCCACTGCCCCACATTGCCTACTGGGGGCAGAAGAAACAGTTTCAAGTTTTTAAGGCTAGTAACTCTCTGAATCCCTGGGCATTGGCTTGAGGCTGCCCAGTCATGGACCTTCCTTTTGTACAGCCTAAATTTGACACTCCTTGCTTGCCTTCAGTTTCAGGTCTGTGCGGCTGCTAAAGAATGATCCAGTCAACTTCCAGAAGTTCCCTTATACTAGTGAGGATGAGGCCTGGAAGACGTACCTGGAAAACCCCTTGACAGCCGCCACAAAGGCCATGATGAGAGTCAATGGGGATGATGACAGCGTTGCAGCCCTGAGCTTCCTTTATGATTACTACATGGTATGTTCGCCCCCTCTGGGCATGTCCCCTTCTGAGTGTCGTGTCTTTACTTTCAGGCCTCATGGCTCAATAGCCGACCAAGACCACACCCAGTCCTTTACCACTGGCCTTTTGCACATGCTGTTCCCTTTGCCTGACACCTCTCCTTTTCCCTGGCTCTACCCTACTCGTAGCTTAAATGTCACCTGATTCATTCATTCATTGAGCAGGGAGAAGGCTTTCTTGGGTCTCCCATTCTTTGCCTCATCTGGGCACTCTAAGCAACCACCATTATCATCTTTGACTGTATCCCTAGAAATTTGTTCTTTGCACTTTTATTTCTCTCTCTCTCCCACAAGACTGAGCTCCTGGAGGGCAAGAACCACACTGTGATCATTACTGAGTCCCAGCAGCACGTACAGTCTGCCACACAGTGTATGACACGTATTGATTAAGTGGATGAATGCCTGACTCACCGCTTGACTCAGCCAAGCACTCTCCGTCATAGCAGCACCCCCAACCTGCCATCTTCTTTCTGCTGCATTGGATCATATCAGTTTCCCTTTTATCTCCACCTGCCTATTCCAGCCCCACCACCTGGAATATACCTTTTGTTCTATAATCCATTCCCTTCCTTTGGGGCCCTTCTCAAGGCCCACCTTCTCTTGGATGCCATCCTGACACATCACCTGTTCCTCTCCTGAGTGTCTTACTGTCTTTCCTGCCCCTGCCGCTATTATAGGCACTGTAACACCTCCCGACAGACCATCTTTTCTTGCTCTCTAATTGTTTCCAGGGCCTTGGCCTTGACTCTGGGAGGCTATTGGTTCCTGAGAATAGTAATTAGATCCTCCCATATCTGACAAGTGAGGCTTGGGCCAGTCAGCAGTCACAGGTATATAACACAACATCACACACGCACACTCCTCACCTCCAGTGCCTGTGCCAGACGTCTCCTGAGTGTCTTACTGTCTTTCCTGCCCCTGCCGCTATTATAGGCACTGTAACACCTCCGGACAGGCCATCTTTTCTTGCTCTCTAATTGTTTCCAGGGCCTTGGCCTTGACTCTGGGAGGCTGTTGGTTCCTGAGAATAGTAATTAGATCCTCCCATATCTGACAAGTGAGGCTTGGGCCAGTCAGCAATCACAGGTATATAACACAACATCACACACGCACACTCCTCACCTCCAGTGCCTGTGCCAGACGTCGCTAATGGATTACAGCATGCATTCTCACTGAGGGAACATGAGGCTGCAGAATCTTTGTTAATATAGTACTCCAGGCAGCCCCTTTCTCTATCTGAATTGTAACGAGACAGCAAACTTACTATCTCTGGGCTGGGTGATTGCTCCAAGAAACACCCACGCTGCCCTCCCCATCCCAGAGCACTTTGGAATTAGAGATGCCCTGTGGATAGTGAGGACACAGTCTGATGGTGTGGAAAAGGTATCCAATTGGGAGTTTGAGACCTAGTCCTGCCACAAATGTGGCTTTGGGCAATATAGTGCTAAAGGGTGACTACTTCCCTTTCTTACTGAGGGTCTGGCACTGTGCCTGGTGCCTTCACTCGTACTAAGCACTCACAACAGTCCCTGAGGGAGGTATTGTTATTATTTTTACAGATGAGGATGCAAGGTCAGAGAGGTTAAGAGACTTGCCCCAGGCCACACAGCCAGTATGTGGTAGCTCTGGGAATTGAACCCAAAGAATTTGGATTCAGAGTCCATGCTTCTAACCACTAAGACAATAGAACCTCTCTGTGCCTCAGTTTCCTCATCCATATAATGGTGATGATATTAGTAGATATCTTGGAGTGGTTGTGAGGGTTAAATTAAAGCATGGAAGTCACTTGGTACACAGTGAGTATTATTTTTATTAATAAATCATCATGATCCCCTTGAAGTAGGTGTTATAATCTCCCGATAGACTTATGAAGAAACTGAGTCTCAGAGAGGTGCAGTCATTTATTCAAAGTCACAGAGCCCTTTTAAGCAGCAAAGCTAGGACTTAAGCCAGGCCTGCCTGACTCCAAATTCCATGCTCCTTAATTGCTAAGCTTGAAGTACTTCTTCTCACTCCCTAATGTGGGCCTCAGACTAAAGGATGGCAGAGCTCCTGCCAACTTGAAGGACTCATGGGTTTTCTCCTAGCAACCGAGATTGCTCCCCTGCCTGGCCAAGGGTACAGGAGAGGGCTGATGCTCTTAACAGCCACATCATAGCCATGAGCCATTCATAAATCCTTCTTTCCTCTCCTCTCAGGGGCCCAAGGAGAAGCGGATACTGTCCTCCAGCACCGGGGGTCGGAATGACCAAGGGAAGAGGTGAGGCTCACCAACGCCATCTCTGCCTCTTCTTCCCCACCTCCACCTCGGGCCTCTTTCACACAGGGCTGACTTACCCATTAGGCACAGGAGGTGCAGGTGTCTAGGGCCCACAGTACTTTTAGGTGCCCATGAAAGTGTTTTAATTTCTTTTAAAATCGGAAGAAAAAAATTATTATAATTCAGCCTGGATTATATTTGTTTTTATGCCAGTGCAATTGTGAAAGATATTTTTAAAGAAGCCTGTGAAGGCAGAAGAGCCTAGAGCCCATGAAAGTCATAATGAAACTCTGCTTGGACGCACACTCACTCGCACATGCACGCTCACACATGCACACATATGCACACATACACACATATACTCCAGATCCCTGCAGGCCATGCAGGCTGGAGTTTACTGAAAACAAACTTCAAAGCCATAGCAGTAGAAAAGCCCTGGAGGCAGCTTTTCTGTCCCAGCTCCAAAACCCTCTTCCGTGCAGCCTCTTGGGGAGGGAGACCTGGGAGGGGACATTTGAGTTCCCGTACTTCTTCCCTTGGCCCTGGCCCGCTGGCCTCTGCCTGGCATTATTGCCTTGGGGCACCAGTGTTCCTTTCCTTGTAAGAAGCAGCGCAGGTCATGCTCGTGGCCAGATGGGTACTGGAAGGACTTTGCCTCTCTTTCTCCACTTTCTCCTTCCCAGCCAATCAGGTGACCTCTCAAAAATGACTGTGTAAGGCCTCTGCTGGGAAGCCTTCTTGGCCCCTCTCTGCCTTCCAGAAAATCTAAACTGCTAAGGCAAGCATCACAGCTCTTCACATAATCCAGCGTGAGCATGCAGCTGGCTCAGGGTCACCTCCACTCCACTGCTAGGAACAGTGGGTTTGGGTGTGTGGGGGCCTTTCTCAAAACTAATTTTTAAAAATGTTATTAGCTCTTGGGATTACAAAAGCAATACCTATTTCTTGTGAAATATTCAAGCTCTATAGAATTAGATAAAGTAAAAAGTAAAATGCAGCTGGCTCAGGGTCACCTCCACTCCACTGCTAGGAACAGTGGGTTTGGGTGTGTGGGGCCTTTCTCAAAACTAATTTTTTAAAATGTTATTAGCTCTTGGGATTACAAAAGCAATACCTATTTCTTGTGAAATATTCAAGCTCTATAGAATTAGATAAAGTAAAAAGTAAAAGTTTCCTGTAATCCTACACCCCTATCCCCCTGAATAGTTTGGGGTACATCCTTCCAAATCTTTTTCTAAACATACACTACCTGTACTCACAGATACACCCCCCACCCCATACATACCCCCACGAGATGACTCAATAGAGTTATTTTGAAGTGGGGACATTTGACCCTAGCTAAGAAATAAATGATTAAACTTCCAGTTTTTTTAATTAACACGTACTGTAACCAGTAAAACAGATGTTTCCCTTCGACTCTGAGCCTGGACTTGGTTCCATTCTCAACCCTCTCCTCCCTGCTTATCCCTGTGACAAATTGGCCTTCCTTCTACAGCGTCTTGCTTCATGCATGTTGTTCAGACATTACATTGGATCAAAGAAGATCAGTGGGTCAGTGTGATGGTCACCTTCCAGTCCAGCCAGGGAACCCCTTCTGCCCCCAGAGAGAAGAGGAGCACTCATTCAGCCCTTCCTCTCTCTCCCCAGGTACTACCATGGTACGGAATATGAGACAGACCTCACCCCTCTTGAAAGCCCCACGCATCTCATGAAATTCCTGACAGAGAATGTGTCTGCAACCCCAGAGTACCCAGATCTGCTCAAGAAGAATAACCTGATGAGCTTGGAGGGGGCCGTGTCCACCGCTGGCAAGGCAGCTCCACTCCCCCCAGGTCCTAGCAAGCTGGAAGCTGGCTCTGTGGACAGCTACCTGTTGCCCACCAGTGACATGTATGATAACGGCTCCCTCAACACCCTGTTTGAGAGCATTCATGGGGTGCCGCCCACACAGCGCTGGCAGCCAGACAGCACCTTCAAAGAAGACCCACAAGAGGTGAGGGCCTATCCCCGTACCCCTCACAGCATCCCTGGATATGAGAGTGCATGTGCAGAAGGAGAGAAGATGGAGGGAAGGTCAGAGCTTTGGAATGCATGAGAGAAAGAGTCCCAGAGCTGAGGCAGGGCTGCCATGTACTGTTGTTCAAATTGTGCACTGCACAACCTGCACAATTATATGTGCAGTCCTGGGCTGAGCCCCAGCAGCCTGAACATGGCCATTTATTCTCTCGGGATTGTGTTTCTCTGCAGTCGCTGCTCTTCCCAGATATCCTGAAAACATCCCCGGAACCCCCATGTCCAGAGGACTATCCCAGCCTCAAAAGGTAACTTGGCCCCTCTGGACCCTTAGCCATCTGGGCAACAGGCAGAGGGCTGCAAATATAGCCCCAACTGTCCCCAGAACATAGCAGGCATAATCAGTGAATGAAAAGAGGGGAGTAAAAGCAGATAAAAAGAGAGAGAATGATTTCCACATTGCTTTCCCGGGCTGTGATGGGGAGCTCAGAGCTTAGCAGCCTATTAGAAAACTGAGGTTCTCTTGCCCTTAGTCTCCCTTGTGGCTTTGTCATACCTCAGGGGTCTCTCCGATTTTCACTGGGACCTCATTATTCAGCAGGATTGTGGCTCAACAAAGCCATTAAATAGAACTCCAAAAATATGGAAACTGAGGTCCAAGGAAGTAAAGTGACTGACCGAGATCACACAGCAAGTCGATAACACAGCTTCAAGCTTCCTGTGCCTCTGCCCTCTGGGATGCTCCTGCCTGTGAGCCCAGCTTCACTGTCCTCTCTCTCCTCCCTGCAGTGACTTCGAGTACACCCTGGGCTCCCCTAAAGCAATCCACATCAAGTCAGGCGAGTCACCCATGGCCTACCTCAACAAGGGCCAGTTCTACCCTGTCACTCTGCGGACCCCAGGAGGTGGCAAAGGCCTTGCCTTGTCCTCCAACAAAGTCAAGGTACATTGGCCCTGGATCTGCTTGGGAAGGGGGTGGAATGTGACAAGACATGCCTGCTGGTCATGCCAGCCAGGGATCCCAGGGAGAGGCTGTTCAGCAATATCCCATTGCCATGGGGTGAGGGAAACTGAGGCAAAGGGGCATGGCCACTGTACCCAGGCTCTGGGAAGGGACCAGGACTGCCTGGCACTCCCTTGAGCTTGGGGGTGACAGTGACCTGCTGTGCTCACAGAGTGTGGTGATGGTTGTCTTCGACAATGAGAAGGTCCCGGTAGAGCAGTTGCGGTTCTGGAAGCACTGGCATTCCCGGCAACCTACTGCCAAGCAGCGGGTCATCGATGTGGGTGAGAGCCTGTCCAAGCCCCCATCACAGTCTCTGTCTCCCCCCTTCCCTCACCAACCAGGCCTCTTTCTGGCTACACTTCTCTCTCCCCAGCCCCCTCTGACCTCTGTCTCCTGGTCAAACTCTGTGGGGTTTGCAGGGATTTGCATCTGTTGACTAGAAGCAGGGCCTCTTTTCTGTGTTGCTTTGGGATAAACAGGGCCCTGAGCACCCCAGCAGTGTCAGATAAATAGGCCCCTGATATGCTGGCCTGTTTGTCCCCATCAGGGGGCTTGGCTGATGGAGACACAAATGCATAAGATAACAGTGCAGGCAGCGGGTGGTTCGGAAAGCTTGAGGCACAGCACAAGAGCACGTCTGCTTTGGGAGCTGGGAACCTTGGGCTGTGCAGCAGGTAGGGGCAGAAGGAAGGTCCTCTGTGTGTGGCCTTGTCCCTGTCCCAGGCCCTGAAATAGGTGGGAGGCTCAGCCTACCCTCTAGTCTCCAGGTTCTGGCTCCATCACTCTCTTCCTGGTTGTGTGACCTATGTCACCCACCTCCCCTTCCTGAGCCTCAGTTTGCTCACTTGTCAAAAAAAAAAATGAGCCCAGCTACCCTGCCTGCCTGCAGTGCTGATTTCTGGTTTGGAGCCATGTATACTGGAGAACATTATATAAACAGGGAGCTATTCAATGACTTATCCGAGAGGCGGGAGAGCAGAATGGGCAGGACCATGGGTTCAAGAGCCAGACAGAGCTGAGCTTCAGTCCTTGCTCTGCCTTTTATTAGTGGTGTGACCTTGGGCAAGCGACCAAACCTCTCTGAGCTGCTTCATTTTCCTCACGTATAAACCAAATCTTCATAGCGTAGTTGTGAGGATGAACTGAGCGTTTGCCATATTGTAAGCATTTGGTAAATAGCAGTTGCCAGTACTTCTCCTTTTGCTACTGCTATTACTACCCCCATCCTGTTGTTATTCTTAGTACTGCTGCTTTATCCGGGAGATCTCCTAAATCCCAATCCTGATGAAAAGTATAACCTCCACCCAAAAATGAGGGGACTGGCCTAGTTGGCAAAGCAAGGGATTCCCTTTGGGGTGGGCAAATATGCTTCCCAGGCTGGACCTGTTTTCCCATCTGTAATCCAGGGCACAATAATCCATTTTCCTCCCTGTACTGAAGCATGGTTCTTGGGGCACGGGATGCCCTCCCCTGCCAAGAATGAGGCCCAGTTCCTAAATGCCTCTTCCCCAGAGTGCCTCAAACTTCCTTCCCTCCTGACTCTCCTGCTGGCCTCCTGTGGTTTCAGCTGACTGCAAAGAAAACTTCAACACGGTGCAGAACATCGAGGAGGTGGCCTATAATGCTCTGTCCTTTGTGTGGAATATCAATGAGGAAGCCAAGGTCAGTGCTGGGGGTGGTAGCTGATATGGGACTGGGCCACCAGGAAGTCCCCATCCTGGGGGAAAGGATTGCGTGCACCCAGAATTGTGGCATTTGCTCTGAAGAGGGCACCACTGGAAGAGGCAGGAATGGAGGGGTGTAGAAGCCAAGGCTCTGGAGCAGTCAAGCTGGGTCCACATCCCAGCCCTTCTATCCAACTGTGTGACTTTGGACCAGTGCCATGTTCCCTCTGAGCTTCAGTTTTCTTGGTTATAAAATGGGAATGTAATCATAGCACCAGCTGATATGTTGTAGTAAGGATCAGGCGAGATAGGTAAAAGGAAGAGCACAGGCCTGGCGCATAAGTGGTGGCTGTTGTTATTAATCCAACCCATTTACCAGATGGGAAAACCAAGCCTTGTGCAAGGTCACACAGCAAGCTGCTGGTGGCACCCAAGTATCCTGACTTCTAGGCCAGTGCAGAATGTTTCAGGAGAAATACTTAGGAGTCTGGTCACTGAGGGCTCCAATCCCAGTCATCTCATTTCTCTGAGCACATGAAATGGAACTGTAATCTGCTAGGATTATGGTGAAGATTCCATGAAAGCATGCACGTCTAAGAGAACAGAACATCGGTGGGCCCATCAGAGAGGCTGCTGGTACCTTTCTTCATGCCAGCCTTTAAGCTTTAAGATTCTTCCAGCATTAGTGCTTGAGCCCAGCCACCAGCTTGCCATGTGCTTATGGGCCTCTCTGTGTCTTGGTTTTCTGTTTGGAGAACTGGCATAATAGAAAGGGCACAAGTCTGGGAGTCAGGGGTTGGGTGACTTTTGGCCTGTCCCTTACCATCCCTGGACTGGGCTTACGTCACCCACCCAGGTTGGGTCCAGCTCATCTCAAGGGCATTTCTGACCTGGACAGTCTGCGGAGCTAACCCCTGCCTCCCTGCCTGCCTCACAGGGCAGCCAGGTTGTCTGGAAAAAAATGGTGAAGGCGCTCTGAAAACACAAAGGGAAGCACGAAGACGGGGGGATTATTATTATTCAAACAGACTCCAGGGGCTGGAGGAGGAGCTGGGGCCTCTGGTTCAGGGAGGTGGGGAAAGTTTCGTGGGAAGGGAGAGGTAGGTTTCGGTGGGGATTTTCTCACAGCTTCTTAAGCCCCCAGGCTTGGGTCTTTCTCAGGTGCGGGCTGGGTGGGGGCTGCATTAGAGCTGAGCTGGCTGAGGGGGAGGTATGTCTGGCATGTGCCGGGGGCCTGGCCCCCACAGCTGGGAAGGAAGGGGGTCTGTTCTGGCACCCCACCCCACCACCGCTGTTCATGTTAGGGTCATTTCCAAGGGAAATGTCCTAAAGACAGGGGCCAGCCTGGGGTGGGCTCTGGCCCTGGAGCCCCTGGTACAAGTCTGCAGGTAGACAATCACCAGGTGACCTTGCTAGGGCTTGCCCACCTGAGACTGGCCCCAGGCTACCACCAGTTGGGCACAGGCTTTGGGTCAAGACTCCAGCTATCCCTCTCACAATAACACACAACATGCCTAGCAGTGACTACATGCCAAGCTCACTAGGTGCTCTACACTCTGCCGCCACACGAGATAGATTTAATTATCCCTATTTTGCAGATAAGGAAACCAAGGCTCAGTGAGGTTAAAGAATTTGTCTAAAGCCACATGGCTAGTGAGTGGCAGAGCCCAGCTTCCCATCCCAGGTCTGGGTAGCTCCATGTCCAGGTTCATCTTGGTATGCCACCCTACCTGACTCCCTGGGGAATATCAGCAAGTTATTTCCCTGCGCAGAGCCTCCATTTCTTCTGCAGTAAGATGGGTGGTGAACGAAATGGTGCCCTTGCTGTTTGGGGGTGGGACCAAATGAACAGAAGGAATCTCTTGATAGAGGGTCCGGCCCTAGCTGGAGCTGGTACTTGGGGTGAAAAGGGGCTGTGCCTCACCTCTGTGTCTCTGGGCCAGCAGGAAAGTGGTCTCCCTAAGCTGGGAGAAGGGGGAATTTGGCCCTTCTCCACCTCCTTGCTCTGAGTTTCAGAAAAATAAGGGTCTGGATTTTAAGTCCCTAAAAGACCCTTAAATATCCATCCCAGGGCCTCAATCCATTGGGCTGCCCTTGGCAATCTAGTGGAAGCTGTATTGCCTAATTTCCCCATCTGTAAAAGAGGGATGGTGATGTTTTCCTTCCAGGGGCCTTGTAAGGCTTAAGAGTGCTCACCAAGTACACAGAAGGCTCAAGAAACAGGATTGTTGTGGGACGGTGGGGATGGCGACCTTGGCAGTCCACTTACCCAGCTCCCTCCTATCCCCAGGTGTTCATCGGGGTCAATTGCCTGAGCACAGACTTCTCCTCACAGAAGGGGGTGAAGGGTGTCCCCCTAAACCTGCAGATTGACACCTATGACTGTGGCTCAGGCACTGAACGCCTGGTACACCGCGCTGTCTGCCAGATCAAGATCTTCTGTGACAAGGTGGCTGGGGCAGTCAGACCCTCTACTGAGTCCTGGGAGGGAAAAGGGTCAGGCCTGACCTGTGCATCCTCCCAGGCTTTCTGGGTGTGTCTGTCTCTCTCTCTGTTTCTTGCTCTCTGAATGTCTCTCTCCATGTGCTTGTTATTGGTCTGTCTCTGTCTCTCTCTGTGTATCTTCCTCTGTCTCTCTGCATTTCTGTCTCTCTTGGCTTTCTTTTTCTGAAGATCACTTTCTGGATCTCTGTAACTCTCCCTCTCTTTCTCTATGTCTGTCTTCCTCACTGTTCTATTTCTTCTCTTCTCTCTCCAACTCTCTCCATTTCTCTTTTGTCTCTTTGTCTCTCTCTCTTCTCCTTCTCTCCTTCTCATCCCTATATCTGTCTGTCTCTCTCACTGCCTATGCTGACCTCAGGCAGGCAGGGCTGGTACCTTTCATTTCCTGGTCTTGTTGTCGGAAAAAAGCAGGACCAGAAGTGTGGCCCATACTTAAAATGCAAACAGCATCTTGTGTACCAGCCTCTCCCAAGGCTCTTGGTGATCCCTCCCCTTCTCTCCTGCAGGGAGCTGAAAGGAAGATGCGAGATGATGAGCGGAAGCAGTTCCGGAGGAAGGTCAAGTGCCCTGACTCCACCAACAGTGGTCAGTGGGGATTGGCCAGGGACTGGGTGGGCTCGGCTGGGCTGGAGGGGAGGAGACTAGAGGGGAGAGGCTGGCGGCCTGAGTGGAGGGGCCTCAGGGCACTGGTTTTCTTTTCCCATCAGGCATCAAGGGCTGCCTGCTGTCGGGCTTCAGGGGAAATGAGACCACCTACCTGCGGCCTGAGGCTGACCTGGAGACCCCGCCGGTGCTGTTCATCCCGAATGTGCACTTCTCCAGCCTGCAGCGCCCTGGAGGGGTGAGGGCCATGGGCTGGGTAGGGGGTCCTGAGAGAGGGTCCCAGCCTGAGTGAGGCCTGCCCTTGCACAGACCAGTGAGAGCAACTGCCCCTCAGCCAGTATAGGCCAACTGAGATGTTCATAGGTCCTGATATTTTAAAAATAAAAATACTTTTATTTAATCCTAGGGGTTTCAAAAATGTATATATGGTCATATAACTTGAGTGACTTATTGAAGAGAAGAATGTTGATGAGGAAATGGACTTTATAACCATTGAAATGGTCATGCTTGGGGCACACTCAGAGGAGGTTTTTGATAGCTGAGCCCCAATTTCAGTGGCAGCCACATCGAAGCTGAGTGACAACAATCGTCATGGCAACCCTGGTGCACTTGCCACAGTCCAGGTTGCAAGCTTGCTTGCGCCTAGTGCTCCCTGTGCATTATCTCCTCACCACAGCCCTGCAAAGTCAGTCATACTGTCTCCCTGGATTTGGAGGCACAGAGAGGTTAAGAAGCCCCCCTAAATTACACAGCTAGTATGTGGCAGAGTCAATATTGGGACTGAGGCACCCGGTTTAGACTCTAGGCCCCGCACCTCTAGCTCCTCCAGCTCAAGCTGGGAGCCGGGCGTGGGCTGAGCCAAGCCCTTGGCTGCATCGCTCCCTTCCTCTTACAGCTGTCCTGGGAGGCAGAGACTGTGCTTGTCCCCTTTTCCAGATGAGGTCCCACAACGAGCCAGTGTCTCCTAGTTTGCTGCCACATTAAACAACCTGACCATACCCTTCCATCGAGGGCACAGTTCACCACTGTTTCAGTGGGAATGTTGCCAAAACAGGCCTCGGGATACAAGATGTGTTTAGTGTATTGACTTAGCACAGTGAGGTGCATGATGGTCAGCTGAGAAGAGCAGCCAGTACTGAGGTAGCCCTTGGCACACACGGAAAGCACTTCTGCGTCCTCTCCTCACTGCCCTGGAAATGACACGGTGGCCTCCGCAGCACACACAGCTGCATTAACCCATTTTCTCTTGGTTCCTCCCTCTCTCTCTCCCCAAACAAAGTAGGGAGATGACCACTCAGGATTAAGGCACCTATGGCCAGGTTGACAGCTAATCTGTGGGGGAAGCCTGGGAGAGGGGAAGCCCAGGGAAGCAGAGTGAGCAGAGAGCCTGATTCTAAGCCCTGACTCTGCCTCCTGCTAAGCGTGCTGCCTCGGGAGGCTCTGTGTCCTCTTGGGCATTGACTTTTCACCTCTCAGGACTGGGCGAGGACTGCAGCAGACAGCACAGTAGTAGTAGTGCCAGGTGCACAGTAGTGTTCAAGTGGGTACCTCTTCCCCTCACCCCCTTCGCCTCAGCTCCAGCTGCCTAGTTGCCAGCTACAGGAGCAGCTGCAGCTCCCAGCACTCCGGGTGTGCTGGGGCTCAGGGGGCTCACTGCTCTGCCAGCCTTTCTTTATCACCTCCTATGTGCTCGCTGAGTCCCTGACTTACCCAGCTTGGGCTGGGTGAGCCCTTTCAACTCAAGATCTCAGCTCCCTTAAGGGGACTTATCTGAGTAGAATGGGCTGGAAAGGCATGGAAATCGCATCTGCCTCCTCCCCACCAAAGAATGTTCCTCCCAGAAAGCCTCCAGCAGCAGAGAGCTCCTCTTATCTTCCCGCATGTGATGGAAAATGTCTTTTTCTCTTCATTGCAGGTCGTCCCCTCGGCAGGACACAGCAGCTCCAACAGGTATGGAGGGAAGCAGCCAAGGGCCTTACCTCCCCTCCCATGCTCCCTGTACCTACTGCACTGCCCCCAGCCTGCCTTTCCCTCTCCTACCCTCAACCCAGCACCTGGGGCCAGAGGATGTAGCCAGGAGATTCTGCCCCCAACCCCCAAGCGAGGTTCACGCTCCTTTCTCATTGAAACTGCCTGGGTTTTTATGGGGTTGCTTTATGTGAAAAGTTGGCGAATCTCTGGCGAGACACCCGCTTGTAAAAAGAGAAAGAAAAAGCCTCTGAGATGGTGGTACAGATTTAGAGAGCAAGGAGGGAAGCTGTGCTGAAGGATTTAGGGGATTAAAGCCCCCTGTGCCCTTCCCCCAACACACACCTACCAGAGGTGATGGAGGGGCTGGTGCCCCTTTGGCTTAGGAAGGGCCTCTGTGTCCTTCCCTTGGTCAGACACAGCCTCAGTGCCATTAGCAGTCCCTTCACCTGTCTGAGCCTCAGCCTGCAAATTTGTCAGGCGAGGAAAAGAGCCCCGTGAGGGTGAGGCAGATATGAGAGGGTGCTGTATATGCAGGATCTCCGTAAATGGGAAAGCACTTAATAGAGATCATTTGTTTTTATTATCCGTTTCTTCCTGTAAACAGGATGTACTTTTCATATGGTGCTTTCACACCAAATTATGTCGCTTATCACCTCACAACAGTCCCGGCAACATAGGCAAGGAGAGGCTATTGCTCTTCTTCATGCATGAGGAAACTGAGGCTCAGAGAACTGAAGTGACTCCTAGTCACACAGCTATTAAGTAGCAGAGGCGGGACTGGAACCCAGGTCTGTCTTACTCCAAAACCCACAATTCCTCCTCGCTGCCTCACATCTAACCTGATTCTTTAAAAAAAGAACAAGGTTGATGATGGTAACAGTCCATATTTATTGAGGCCATATTTTGCGTCGCACACTGTGCTAAGAGCAGTATGCATTCTCTCCTGCAGCCTCACGACAACTTTATGAAGTATTGTTATTCCTTTACCATCACCCCCGTTTTATAGATGGGGTCACTAAGAGGCTGAGGAACTCACCCCAGCTCACGCAGCTAATGTGTGGCAGGGCTGGGATTTGAACCCAGCCAGCCTTCTACTTACCATTATCCCACTACTTTGCGCCCACCCACATGTTGTCTCCCCCACCTCTAGGGCCCCTGGAGGCCCAGCAGGGTCCTTCAGCCTCTGGTCTGCTCCCCGGCTCCTCACACACCCCTCCTTGCCATCCCACAGGCTGCCTCTGAAGCGCACCTGCTCGCCCTTTGCTGAGGAGTTTGAGCCTCTGCCCTCCAAGCAGGCCAAGGAAGATGACCTTCAGAGAGGTAGCCTCTTTCCCTCTCCATCTGCTCTCAGAGCCCACCCAGCTCCCCACTCCCTGTGAGGCCCTTCCCAAAGTCTGAAACACCGATCCTGGCCCAGGCAGTTGGGGCAGGACCAACCCCAGGAAGGAGGGCACGAGGGGCTGCTTTACTCACTGGAGCTGAGTTTGCTAAAACTTGGGCGTGGGGGGTAAGGAGGGCACCCAGGCTGCTTGGAGAGACAGCCACGGGCTTCGGAGGGCTTCTGCCTCCTTTGACCTGGTTTGGACATGGGCGTCCTGGGGCAGCTAGTACAGGCAACAGGTTCATTATACCAGGCAAGTCCCCCCACTTTCTCTAATGGTGGGAATGGGGTGGGGTTTCAATGTCTGACTCTAAATCGGTGACCTCCTGGCGGAGGAGGGGACAAGCCCAAATCTCTGTTGGCTGTAGCTGACTATCAGGAAGAAACCACCAGCCTCTAAGATCAGAAGCTTCCAGCCACCACGAATTGAGCTTTGGCCTGCCCTCAGTGTTTCCAAATATTGTCATCAATTCCCATCACGACTCTGTGAAATGGGGATCCCATTTTACATACAAATAAAGTGAGGCTTCGTGATGTTAAAAGCACCTCTTCAAGGTCTCCTGGCTGGTGGGTAGTAGAGCAGGGGATCCAAACCCGCCCAAATGAGCACAGTCTAAGAAGGTACATGATGACCTGCAAAGTTGGTGCAGTGTTTCCCACTGGGTACAGACCCTCAGCAGAAATTAATCTTATATCGAAGTAATATTTTTTAAGACTTCCCATCCCTGAGATGTTCCTGGGCCCGTTATCTGATGTGTGCCTCAGAAAGCCACCCTTTGCTTTGCAGTTCTTCTGTACGTGCGGAGGGAGACTGAGGAGGTGTTTGATGCCCTCATGTTGAAGACCCCGGACCTGAAGGGACTAAGGAATGCGGTAAGATGCCTGTGGACCCCGCTTGCCCTGGCCGGTCCCTCCTCTGGGATCCTGTCCCCTACTCTTCACCACACAGTTCTGATTTCCCACAGGTAGGCTCTAAGAAGGAAAATCCTGGAACGTTGGCTTTCTGGTGGCCTACCTGTCCCACCCCATGTGTGTGTGGGGGGGCCATGGGGCCCTGCTGGTGGGGGTGTGCCTCTGTGATGTTATCTCCCATCCAGAACCCTGGCTCCACCCTGGGAGCCGCACACACCATAAATCCTCCTTAATCTGATGGCTGCTGTCTGACAGGCCAGGGCTTTCTGTTGGCTTTGCAAACTTGTTTCTGTTTTAATGGGAATGAAACCCAAAAAGGCCAGGCCCCAGAGACGTTCTTTTTTCTTTCCCAGGGGGCCTCATTCCTCCTGCTTGTGGTTGGCTGGGGGTTTCTGGCTGGGGTGGCTGAACGCAGTGTCTGGCCAAGGAGACCTTCCCCAACCCCCAAACTGCCAGAGAGCCGGTGAAACAGCCCAGCCTCGAACAAAAGCCACAGCAGCTTCATGGCTCAGCCAAAAAGTGAACAAACACAGCCTCCGCCAGGGCCAGCCATGCTTGAAGGTCGGACCACTCAGGAAAGCCAGTTGGTTCCAAGATCGCAGGCTGGAGGAAGGAAAAATGAATCTGATAATAACATGAGCTACCTTTTATTGAAGACCCCCGTGTGCCAGGCATTTGGTCAGGCACGCTGCCTTTGCTGGCTCATCCTGACAAGTGGGACTATTACTATCTCATTTTCCACCAGGAAACAGCCTCCAAGAGGTCAGGTGACTGGCCAAGGTTACTCAGCTTGAAGTGACAGAGCTGGGATTCTAGCCCAAGCTCTCTCCACTCTGCTATTCTGCCTTGTTCTCTTTACGTACCATCAATCCTGCTTGGCATCAGCCCCAGGAAATTTGGCTCATGAAAGGCCATTAATATCACTTGAATATAGACACAGAATCTTTGGGTTGGACAGTACCTTAAAGGGTCAGCTCCCCATCTGGCGCTTGAGCTCATTTCCCAGCAGCTGTTCCAAGTGGGTGGCCCACTCTTGCCTTGTACACGTGCAGAGATGGAGAGCTCACTACCTTCTGGGGCAGCCCATGCTGTCTTTATATAATTTGTTCAATTTAGGATTAGAAAGTTCCTAAATTCTTCCTCAGATTGACTTGAGATCTTTCTGGTAGCTTCTAGCATAGTCTAGGAGCTTTTCTTGCCTGAAAAGATCTCTGTCAAGGCAGAGATAACTGAGAAACTAAACCTAATCCTCTTCCTAACATGCCCAGAGACAACTACCTCCACCTGGAACTGGTGGCCTGAGGTTCACTGCAGCTTTGAGGCAGCCGATACTACTAAACACCAATGTTCTACTGAGCTCTTATCATGGGACAGGCACTGGGCCCTTTACATAATCGCCTCAGTTCACATGCAGAACCACCCTATGTTTACATCCCATTACTATGCCCATTTCACACATGAGGAAACTGAGGCTCAGAGAAGGCGACCTATTCAAAGTTCTGCAACTCCAGGTGGTAGAGCTGGGATCAGACTAGATTATCTGCTAGAGAAAACTTCGGGAGCTATCGGGAGAAAAGGGCTGACTCTGGCTGTGTGAGCTCACGCAGGCGGCTCAAAAAACCTCTCAACCCATCTTCTCATCTGCAGAATAAGCTCCCACACTTTGGGATGTGATGGAGTCAGTCAGCCTGGGCTCTAGCCTTTGAGCTCACGCAGGCGGCTCAAAAAACCTCTCAACCCATCTTCTCATCTGCAGAATAAGCTCCAACACTTTGGGATGTGATGGAGTCAGTCAGCCTGGGCTCTAGCCTTCGGGTGCATGGCTTATCTTCTTCAAGCTCAGTATGCTCCCCCATCAAATAGGGCTCATAATCTCTGCCTAGAAGGGGGAGATATTGAGGTTATCCCCCTCACAGCAGGGCAGTGAGCATCCCCAGTGCTCCACTTCTAAATAATAACAATGGCCATTTGCTGAGGTACATGCCAGGAGCTGCCCTAAATGTTTCATGTGGATCAATCCATTTAATTCTGCTAGCCACCTGTGAGGTAGGTACTGTTACTGTCTCCACAAGTAGTTTGCACAAGGTCACCCAGCTGGTGGATGGTAGAGCCCTTAGCACTGGAACAATCCAAATGTATCCTGCCTGACAATAGGCAAGAGTTAAGGGAAGCGGTAGATGCTCTTTAGGATATTTTACAGCCACTTAAAAATGCTGTTTGCCAAGTATTTGTTGTGATATGGGAAGGCTTATAATATGATGATGAGTAAAAGTAGTTACCTAAAACTATCTATGGAATATAAAAATATCTATACACATGGCCAAAAGATGGGAAGGCAGACACCCAGATGTTAATAGTGTTTATCTCTGGGAAACAGGATTATGGATGATTGTAATTTTCTTCATAATTTTCCACCATATGGATATATAGTGCTTCCATAATCCGGAAGTAAAAAGTGATGATATAAAAGACTGGCATAGTGGGTTGCAGGGCGGGGCAGCTGAGACTCAGGCTCTGGGCTGGAGACGTAGGGACCAGGAAAGGCAAGAGGGGAGAAAGAAGCTTATATGTGGGTGTGGAGGGTGAGGGGCAGCCAGAGGATGAAACGTGCAGAGAGGGGAAGGTTCACAGAGGGGTTGGGGAGGAGGAGGGCAATAGAGGGCCCTAAGAGTGAGGAGGGTCTTAGAGATGTCTGTAGGGGAGGAGGAAGAGAGAGGTTTTGGAGGTGGGAGAGTCATCAAAGGGTCTGGAGACCACAGAGAGGATAGAGGGCTCTGGGGCCCTGGCAAGAAGTGAAGATCAGAGGGCCTGAGCTTGAAGCCTCATCTAACCACCTAGAACAAACATATTTGATTTGATTCCCTCTCTAATGGTTGTTACCTCTGGAGCCCAGCGGGTGGGACTGGCTATCGTGTTCTGCCCCAAACCTGCACTTCTTTCCTTGTGCCTGATGGAAAGGAACAGCACATCCTCCACCTTACCCACCACCTGTCTACCTGCTTGACCTCTGACTCCTCGCATTCTTCCACATCCATGCGTCTTCAGATCTTTCACTTTCTTTAATATGTCTGGAATCTGGCCGTTTCTTGTGAGGGTCTTTGCAGAAGCCTCTACCTTTTCACCTCCCCAGCGTGGAGAAACACGTTGCAGCTAGTGTGATCTGTTTAACATGCAAATCTGATTATGCCTTCTGCTTAAAAACCTTGAGTAGCTCCCATTACCTATAGATTAAGTCTAAACACCTTAGCATGACATTCTAGATCCTTCATAAACTAAAAACAACAACAACAAACAAACAAGAAAAAGAAAAAAGACTTATAAATCCAGTTTTGGCAGCGGGCAGTGAACCCCCTACTGTTTTCTTCCAGATATCTGAGAAGTATGGGTTCCCTGAAGAGAACATTTACAAAGTCTACAAGAAATGCAAGCGAGGGTAAGTGCCAAGTTCAACCCTCCCACCTGCTTGCTGCTCAGTGCCGAGGAGGGTTTGTACTTGGCCTTCGTGGAGAGGCTGAGGGGATAGAGAGTTGGGGTGGAGAGCCCCCCAGTCAGGCCAAGGCCACTGGTTATCCCTTCACCTGCAGAGATCAGACTTTGATCCCTATTGGGAAGGCTGGGAGTGGGAGACCAGTACAGGGTCTTTATACATGACCTCCTGGGGTGGAGGGGGAAGCTCAGGGTCATGTATCAGAAGAGCCACATTCAAGTCCCAAGGCCACTGGATAACTAACTCATTTGATTATAATGATAATGAGTCTAGTGACCACCATTCACTTGACTGTCTACTATGTGTCAGATACTGGGTTAGGCACCTCTCATTTACCCTCTCAGCCACACAAAGAGGTAGATACCATTACCTGCTTTTTAAAAATAGGGAAACTGAGGCCCAAGAGCGATAAGCAGTGTTCAGGAGGCAGGAGCAATGGAACAAAGGCACAGAGTCAGAAAGGCCCAGCCATGTTGCTACTGGCAGAGTTGGGGGCAGGAGGGGATGGCTGGCTGGCAATGAGTCTGGAAAGGGAGTTGAGACTGGGGGTTGCTTTGAGGGGGCCTAGCCAAGGATGCTCCATGGTCTCCTCCACCTTCAGGCTGGACTAGGCAGGAGGTGGCAATGCTGTACCCTCCAAGGGGCCAGTCAGCACCTGGTGCCATGGGCTCCTGGGGACCACAGCACTCTTTGTTGTCTGCTGAGGAGATCCCTTGGGGGGGATGGAGAGGGACCCACAATGACTGTCCTCCCAGGCTCTAGTCCCTTGGTAAGAGACAGCGAGCTGGGCCTTTGCAGCCCTTCATGACTAGGTCACTTCACCAGCCCAGGGGCATTCCCAGCCCAGAGGACCCAGGACCAGGCCCTGGGAAATACTCCCTGCCCCTCTGCCCATAGCTCAGACTTGATCCTCCTGCTCTGGGTAGTCAAACTCCAGTTACACTTCATAGTAGCTACTGGAAGGTGCTCAGGCATTTGCCCATGGCTATCGCCTATTGGTTTCACTTTTTAGAAGACTGCAAAGTGAGGCAGGTTTTGTATTCAAGCTGAAGCTGCATCTAATCAGGCCCAGGGGCCTGGCCTCCTTCCTCACAGGCCAGCCCTGCCTCCCTCCCTCTTTTGTGGTTCCCCCTAGCCTCCCATAGAAGAGTGCAGTGGGGGAAAGGTGTCCATCCCTGCAGCCCCTGGGAATCCATTTGGTTTTGGTTGTATGAGTGTCTAGAGTCTATTTTTGGGTGTGTGTGTGTGTGTGTGTGTGTATGTTTTTTTCCTAAGTTTCGGTTTCAAACTGGGGCTCACATGCTCTCTGGAGTGGAATCCACTTCATGGCCAAGGGCAGACTCCGCTTTGCCCAGACAGGCCCAGCCTCACTTCCCCTTCGGTGCCTGTGCCCACGCCCCCTGGCTCCAGCCCTGCCTGCCGCAGGCCTCTCTCACAAATCCCATCCCTAGCTGGCTGAGGGGCCTAGAAATGCCTTTGGGTATAGTTGTGTGTGTGTGTGTGTGTGTGTGTGTGTGCAG